GTATCGCTAAGTTTCTTCGGAAAGAATTTTTACGGAAAATTAACTAACGACTAGAGGCGTAACAATATATTAATGTTGCGGAATATTATATAAATTAGCTAGCCACATGAGATATAACCTCGTGCTCTAACCACTAAATCGAAACACTGCCTTCAGCTTAAACGAGTAAGTTCAAGAAACACAATTAGAACGAATTATTCCTGCGTGTTACCCGTTATTGAAGTATTTTAATTTTGGAATATTGTGCGTTTTCGGAATAAGGTTTTATCTTTCTTTATTATTAAGATTAATAAGATTGATATTTATGTTACATTGTTTATCAACAGTTGTGTAATGTCCTGGCTAGTCTCCAATTTTCTTAGTTTTTTTTTTTGTAAGTGATAACTTTGTATTGCAATTGTTTTTTGTTCGACCCTGGTTGTAGCTGGGTTTTCTTTTAGTCTGTTACAAACGACAGCAGTGTCGTTCACAAGGCAGATGATATCTAGCTGGTTATGGCCTCGTCCTCTTCTATGTTGAATAAGAATGACCATAACGTGGTTAGTGTTAATTATTATAGATAAATTCAACGTTTCCTGTAAGATAAGAAATGTTAGATTTTACTGTGTCTATGCAGGATCTCAAGCAAATTTGTTTCCGTAAATATAGGACTTTTGCTCATGCTGTGAAAGTTATTGATATTGATCAGACTACAAATGCAGACTCAAATACATCCAGACCAATAGATAAAACCTTGCCCTTGGAATCAATTTCTACGCAAGGGAAGCCAGGTGGAATGGCACCTGGCGAGCCCAATACCACTTGGGTAGGTACCTAAAAGTTTTTCAGACCAGCAAGAGTACCACAACCCCAACTGAAGTCAAGACTATCCGAGAAGGACTGGAAATGTCACTGGTGGATGATCTCTGCCAGTTGTAGCTATTTCTCTAGCAGGTGATACAACTGGCACCTACACGTAAAGATCATCAGCTATGTAGCAGTAGTGAGCCTCTCAGATCTGGAAGGAATCCTGCAAGTACTGGGGTCATGCAAAATTGTACAAGTTGCCATGAGTAATTCATCAGTGCCACCTAGGGCTAGAGACCGACCATTCGTCTGAGCTCTGGGGTACCTGAATCTGTTTATCACCCTACATCTGTGACATTGGCAGCATCTTTGCCAGGCATTGACTGAGAATCCACAAGGGGGGGGGGGGTGCTTGGCCAGCACCACATCTCACAGTAAGTATAGTAAAGCAGGTTTAGCCCTCTTATTCTTGAGATTTTATTTTTTTATTGTCGTTTTGTTTTTCATCCATGTCAACAAAGGTTTTAGTTTTAATAATGTATTTTCATTCGATGCTAAAGGATCTTGTTTTCACATGAGAATTTTTTGCTTAACATGTTATATTGCCTTCCTCTAAAGGGAGCAAGTTATTGTTGTTTAAAGTTGATTTTTCTAATTAGACCTTTTGTTGTAAGCATATCTTATTAAAGTACCCTGTTATAAAGGATTAGGTAATATTTGTAAAGCTGTTTATATATATATATATATATTTCACTGTTATATGGTATTTCATGTATGCATATGTACTCGTGTTCTTCTTTAAAACTTGCATTTCTATATGTTCTGTGGTTAAAGCGTGGTTTCAGGTTTTTTAGTAGAGGGTACTTGTACATACTGTAATTCTCTTTGCTAAGAGTTACATTTTGTATTATGTGTAATGTTTAATCCTTTAAAAAGATGCCCCCCCCCAGTGTCACAGCGGACTTTCAATGCTAGAAACCAGGTTTTGATACCAATGGTGGACAGAGCACAGAAAGCCCACTGTGTAGCTTTGTGCTTAACTACAAACAAATTTAAAATGATTTTCATTGTATTTTCTTTCGTTTGTATGTATATGATTTAACTGTTAAAAGGAGAGTTAACAAAAGGTTTTTCTTTTTACTTATAACTGTAATTTGTCTTACGTCTCCATAATAGATATCATGAGTGTATCAGTACATTGTAGAAGTGAGACTATCAATATTTCATTTCATCAGCTACAGGTTCCTATTGATGAACTGCTTCCTGAAAAACTTCAAGTACGTATTGCTTGGAATAACTGGCCTCGGAGACAGCAGTACAATACCTAATGCTGAGTATCAAGAGTTTAATGCTTGACCTAATCAAATGTTTTGATAAGGAGGAAAATACTGGCAGTATTTATATGTTTTCTGAGGAAAAACAAGTGAAGTAATGATTAATAATTAGGCCGTAATATTCATAGTTGCCTTATAATAGTGGCCGACCACAGGCCCCTTCCCCCTACTCTAGTCTGTCACATTCCTGAATGTCCAGATAGCATCTGTCTACACATGCACGCCAGATGTAAACTCAAGGTCATCGCTAATTCTTGCAACTAATCCACTTGCAGGCTGTTCAGTTATAGTATTGATTTTTGCGGACTTAAAAAATGACGTTATGACACTCAATTTTTTTTGAAAATGGGGTCGCCTTATATTCGAGATCGCCCTGTAATCGGGCCAAAACTGTAATATAATTGCTTTGATGATCAACCAATGTACCAAAGTTGATCTTATTGCTGACCAACCAACAATTATTATAGTGCGTTGATAAGTAAATTACCTGTTGAAAGGGTGTTGAAATGCTTACTTTCTGAGATACCAAGTGATGTTTTACAGTAAAATATCTAGAGGATATTACGCGATAGTCATTTAATTATCTCACAGTTAAGATAAGTGATGTTAGTAGATGTGATACCTAGAAATTCAAATAGAATGTTAAGCTAAAGGATGTCACAACCCTTACTTTCTGAGTTGATGAGCAATGTTTAGTAGCAAGGTGTTAGTCTTAAGTCTTATGGTAATCATTCGCACTATCTAGTCTAGTAGTGTAACATTTTCTGTAGAGCAGACCATGCATTACTCACTGATTATGCAGCAAAGACAGCCAATGTTAGTAAATGTAAGACTCAGAATGCTCTGGTATTGAACAAAGTCTATTGTTAGAAATGTACATAGTGTGGTTGAAATGTTGTGTATTTTTTTCTAAAAAACAACAAAAAATTGTATGGGATTGAGTAAAGAACAAATGCTAAAAATACAATAAACTCTTTAGAGTGGATCCAGTTCTTATCATGCATCATGTTTTATATTCTAATGGTTATAACTTCAAGTTATCTGGTTTAGGGGAGGTATGTCGAATTTCTGTAGTTTACTAAGGGACAGGGAAAGTGACCTCACTTTCAATTTAATTTAGCCTTAAATGTGTGGGGTGGCATACTGTTAGTTATTTGACTGTTTCTTGAGTTGTTGTACATTTCTTCTTTGTGTTAGCTATTAGGTTAGATTTAATCTTATAGAGCTGAATTTTAATGATGTATTCCTTTTACACATGATGACATTGAAATTACCTTTATTTACAGATAAAATTTTATGGCATTGTTTTTAAGTTAATGGGAACAGTTTTTCTGTTAAGAGTTCTTAGTTAGAATCTGGTAGACTCAGTTTAAGACAGGTATGGGATTAACCCTAGATGTTACTCTTTATAGCAAGACTCAGTCAAACATCGTATGTGCTATGAGGTAGTTGTATTGTGGCCAATGTCACTTTATATGTGTGGTGAGGCTATTTTGATTGTTACAAGATGGGAAAAGGGCCACCAAATCCCTCAAATTTCATTATGTGATTGGTCAAGTTATGGAGAAAATGTAAAGTGTGAAAGGATTTTAGAGATTTGATGCAATATCTAAAATGTCATTTTTTTTTTGCCCTTCACATCAAGTCTTTTTTTCATCACAAAACTGATGACAAAACCACTACGTACTAGGACCACAATCTTCTTGTTGTGGGTATCAGATGACTGTATGCTTTATCTATTCTCAAGTTTTGGACATCATACTAATTTAGTAATTTGAAAGTTCACTTGCGTGACATTAATATTACATAAGTAAGAAGCTTAAAGATCTGATTCACTGTCACAAGCCTCAAACCAGTCTGAAGATTCAACCTAACTTAGTCTGAAGATTCAACATCATTAACATTACTTAGAGTCTGAAGATTTAATTTTACGAACATCACATAAGAATCTCAAGATTCATTTTTCAGCATCGTATACCTCTTGTAATAATCGTAAATTCATTCCTATGTCACTCACGGTTTGTAAATTTACTTTAATGTTGCTAATATCATCTACTAGCTTAGTAGTCTTACATCTCACTTCAATGTTACAAACATCTATAAGAACTTAATAATCTGAATATTTGCTTCACTATCACTACTTCATGTAATAAGTAATTCTTTTTACAAAGAATGCAGTTTTATTGTCAAGTCATATCTTTAATATTGATGTTTCTTATGAGCTTTATGTGTGAGCTCATTCTATAAACAGCATAATAAAAAGGAGGACACCAGGAAATTTGCATTTTATTCTTTTTAATTTTATGTATGCATTCATTAACTCGTAAATTGTCAGAAAAAAATTTATTGCATAGACAGTAAATTACCACAAGTTTTAAGCACTAACTAATCAGACTAAACCAAGTATTGATTTAAATTTTACAATGTTCCCCAGAGTAAAATATGAGTTTCTCCAAACTCATCAGTGTCATTTTGTAAAATATGAAGTTATATTTAATCCTCATATTATAATCTAAATTCAAAATTATAAATTCAAGCACATGATAATACACAAACTATTATTAAATAAATATTGGCAAAAGAAAACCCCTTTAATATTAACTGATGGAAAGTTATTACATACACATGTCTAATAAACTAATAACCAGTCAGTCACTATATTTCATACAAGTATTGATGTATCATTGTTTGTTAACACACGCTTTAATGAACAAGATTCAACAGTTAACAGATGTACTTCCTCTATTAAGACTTGTATTATTATGTCGGTGTTGTTAGTCAACACAAGCCTGTTACGATCAACACAGATATTGACATATCTTTATCAAAACAACAAGCGGTATAACTATCTCTTTCAATCCAAGTACTGTTATACTTATCTTTATTAACAGAAGTAGTGATACACCTATCCCTATCAACAAAAATATTGATATACCTACTTTCATCAACACAGATATCAATACATCAGTCTGAGTAGTTAACAGTACTAATGGTATACTGGTATTGCTATCATCACAGTGTTCATGTGATGTATCAATATCATTAACCAACACAAATACTAATAAACCAGGCTCTCTACAGAGTATTACTTGATTTGGCAGATTGGAGTAAGAAACTATTAGTTGATTGGCATTTGATGCAGAAATTTAAACTTCCAACAGGTTCCACGATTTATGTATTAGAGAAAAAGAAGCTAAATGTAAGCAAATTGTCTGTGGATAAACTGACAATGAGATTCTCAGTAATTACAAAAAATGCATAATGAAGCTTATTTTGTAGAAGTCGTTATGGTCAAATATGATAGTGTATGTATAAGAACACTAAAATTTTGAAGCATACTTATAGGAATAGTTTTATATATATTATGTCACTGGAATACAATAGACAATTTTACTTTACAAATAACCTAATCTTCAGCCAGCATAGAAACCATTCTAATGTATTTTATCTCAAGCATACCAAAACAAACCTATTATTTAAAAATTAGGAGTATTTTAATATAATATTAACACACAAGAATTATCCTTTAGTAATTTACATACTTAACTTCTTATCTGAGAAAAAGGGGGAGGGGGCATAAAGGAAATTACCAAATATGAATGAAGGACCATTCAATGAAAAAATGGCTTTTCTTTTAACAAAAAATTTAGTATAAAATAAAATTCAGTAAATTAGTAAAGTAAGCACCATTTTATAAATCAAATTACACTTGATTACCTTCTTTCACTTTACCTATGATTTAACTCTAATGAAACTATGGAGATTGGTTTATCATGTTTCCATAAAATCACTGTTTTAGATTTCAGATACATAAGAAAGCTTTTCATGATTTATTGTAGACATTTAGTGTCAGAACTAGGTAAACTTTCAGTAATTAACCATGATAATTGAATCCATATATACATACATGTCATGTGATCAGTTAGTGGTTCATTAGTTTTCAAACTGTCATAGCTGAATTATAACAAGCTGACAGTCCTAGAGAAAATGCTGATATTTTGTTTTTAACTAGTGTGGCAAAACCATTTCTGTCTGAAGTTATTCAGAATGATTTTAAAGTTCCATTGAGCTATTTTGTTTCTTCCACTTCATGACCAAGTAGCATACAGAGTACTCTGTTGCTTTTACATCTGTATCCATACTATTAAAGACATTAGAGAAGAAACAACTGATCACACTGAAGAAGAATCACTTAGATTTACATTATGCTCTTTTTTCTTCCTTCTTGAGAGAAGGTAATCAACTGAATCCACAGTTGTATACAGTGCATCAGTGAGTGGGCTTTTTACTTCACTTTTAAAAATATTTGAAACCATTATTTCAGTGACTGAAGTCCCTTTTTTTTTCAACCTTTATTTTCTCTTCTTTACCCTCACTTTTAATATCAGTACTGAATACCTCACTTTCCACACCAGCAGGTGAAGACAATAACTTGTTAGACTTTATTTCTTCATTTTCAGTAGTTTCTGTTAACGTGCCATTACTGTGACTGCTATCATCTCCTATTTTTCGGACCAGACCAAGGACATTGAGCATATGTAGAGGTTGATCAGTGGATTGTTTTGTAACTGTAATAGTGAAAACAGTGACCAAATTTATTCAAGAAAAACAAACTAAAAAAAATTACTGGGCTAAACACTCAGGTTTCTACTTTCTACCTCATGGAGATGCATTTTATTTTAAGCTAGATGGAGAAAAAACTTACTAATAAGACATTAGAACAAAACGACAAATAAGGAAGAATCTAATGAGGAGGAGTCCACTTGGAGACTAATAAAGTTTGGTTAGATGAATAATGAAGAAAACTTTATTACATGTTTAATAGCAATCTTTATTAGGAGGAATGTAATTTTTTTGTTAGTCATGAAAAGTTTTATTATAATTTCTCAATACATTAACATGTAAAAAATTAAATGAAAGTGTCAGAAATTAATGCCAGAATCCTTAACCTTGCAACAAGAATGGATCAATAATTTAAACATTTTTGTCAGAATCCATGTTAACTTTATAGAGTTCTCACTGTTGCCACAAGTTAATTAATGTCAGTGATTTTTATTAAGACTTAAATTACAAGAACAGAGAGCTTTGTTAATTTCACAAAGATCTCACTTGTACTACAAGTTAGAGTTACAAACTTCTGTTAATAGCCACTGTTTTTGTCAGAATGTAGAACCCTGTGTCAACTTTATAGTTCTCACTTTTGCTACAAATTAGGTTGAAAGACTTTCTTTAATAGAAATTTATTATTGCAATAAAACAGAACCACAATTAAGTTAAAAGAAATCTTATTTAAGTTACAAGTGATGGTATTGTGACCATTAGTCCCAATTTCTGGAGACAGTCACTAGATGAGGAATGTTGTTCCTGAGAAACATTCATGTAGTGCCAGAACCCTGTCAAAACCTGCTAGACGTATGATGTCACCATCAGACTACTTACTACTAATATTACATCTAAATTTAATATGCATATATAACCAAGATAATATATGTAACTCAACTGTCTTTAAATTAACCCTTTCGAGACTGGTCATGTGTGAAAGGCCATGTCATCTCGTTTTTTGACTCACATTCAAAACTTTTATTGAACTACTATTTCAATAACTTTGGTATCAAACTGTAGATTATAATTCAAATTTTAGTATTATACATTATCCAATTTCTTAATTTAAAATTAAATACTAAAAACACAGATAAACATCGATTTTTGTGTGTCACGTTGTATGTTGAATGCAGCAGTGGTTCAAATTAAAAGTTTGTGAAATCAAATAATAAGTCTATAGTATTGTACGAATTAGAAACTCAAATTACCAATATTGACAATCTAGAATATAAAATAAGAACATCTTATCTTTTCTATTTGCTAAGATATTGCTCATGTAATAAATCAAACACAGTGGCACCCCGCCCACCTCTTTCCATTTTTAGAAATGCTCCCTTATATACACTTACTTTATATATGACATGAATAACCGATAAGAAGCTCAGAATGTCCCCTAGTGGCTTTCTTAGCCATTTTAACAAGCTTGCAGGCCATTTCTTTCTCTCAAACCAATATTTCAACGAGGTAGGATGTGTCTTTAGTCTGCTTGAAATTTCATACTTTTTTAGACTAAAATACATCTTAGTTACTAAGCTTTATAAATTATAGTGGAATTCTATGGTATTGATGTAATAATTTATGATTTTTTAGTTACTCAAATGTACATATAAAACCTAAAAAATTATTTCGTTTCATATCTTCCATGGGCAAACTTTTTAAAGGCTTCGCAACCTACATCAAGCAGCAGTTGAGTACAAAGGCTGTAACTTGAAGAAATAATTGTTTGCTTTACTTCTTTATTTACTGTTCTATGTTTTAAGAAAAATAAGTTTAAGATCTTATTTCAAAATAGCAATAATCTATATACATATAAAATGTATAATAATTGAAATGTGACTGTATTTTACAAAATACTAGTCTACTAAAACACAGCCAAGACAAGTTACTTTGTACAGACCAAAGGTCAGTTTTATGTTATTGGATACAGTAACTTGAGTGCACGTGTGCCGCATCATTGTAACTTCTGTATTGTTAGCCAGGCATGGCTGAAAGCTCAATATAATAAAAATAATTAATATATATAAATGTAGAATGTTATGAGATCTAAGCTATTTAGTCTAAACACTTATGTTTTCATGTTATAATTTGTGTTCATTCTAGAATGAAAGAGGCAAATTTATACTTATTTCCTAACTTTTTATGGTGGTTACAAGATCAGTCAAATCTACCAACCTCATACAGAGATTCATTACTGAAAATAACAGATAAAATATAAAGTTTTTCTTATGAAACGTTTGATAACTATCTGGATATTATAAAGTTTTGCATAAAAAATTTGAAAATTTCCTGATGTAAAAAATTATTTTTAATCTTAAAATGAAAATTACTTTGCATGATAGACAGGCAACATGCAAAAAGAAAAAAAAAGGCATGAGAAAAACATTGCTTTACAAACCTTAAGATTTAATAAAAAAAATTGATATTTTGGGTATGAAAGTATTATAATGTTTACTGATAATGTACCAAATTTTGTTAACCTTTGCTTACTAACTTAAAAGTTATAGCATGAAAATTATAACAAGCACAAAATGGTTACAAGTTCAGTCCCAGGGACTGAGCCCATGCTGAAATAGTTAAGCAGTAAAAGAAAAACAAAAACTAGGTATCATATATAAAATCACTAATATTATAACAAGTTTAAAAAATGCATATCTTGTAAATCTACAATATCTATAATTGCACTAAAATATTAAAAACTTAAAAAATCTTGTTACACCAACATGAATAACTAAAAAAAACTTATTTGTTGTATATTAAGTAAATAATAAGCCTTTTAAAAATGTCACATTTTAAACACACAGTATAATTGTAAAATATATTCTATTAAGTGTTTCTTAATGATTATGGATTGTACAGAAAAAACATTTCACCATTTTAATGCCTTTACACCCGCTCTTTAGTCACAGTGGTCGCATGGTGCCTGTTGCCAGTTCCTGAGGGATAGTAACACTGTGTGTGTGCTGGATGGTTTGACCAATAGACATGGATGATGTTCTCTGACACACTGAGGGTTTGGTTATGAAAGACTTAATTTCAAATGTAAACAAAATAACCTAAACATATATAAAAATAAGGATTTAAAGTATAGGGACTAAGCTCCAACTTTAGCTGCCATATTCCAACGTGATTTGGCACCACTTATCCCTGCTGGGAAAAAATGTCCTCAAAACTATTTCAGGCTTGAAACAAATCACCACATACTCTCACATTCCATTTCTTATAGTTATTACGGAGTCTGATGCAGAAATACATTAGAAATAAGCATTTAACTAGTATTTATTATTAGCTAAGCTACAGCATCACTGTGTGTTGTCACTAGTGTAGTAACACTGAGCAATAATAATGAAACAATCATAAAAGTGGTACTACTACTACAGCAAACATAAGAAATTCTGGTGATTATAGTTACAATTGTTTATACAAGAATCACCTTAAGTTAGGGTTACCACTGTCTACTACTTATGTAAAGATGTAGAAGCGCTTTTAAGTTTATAGTCCATATTCTTACTACAAGTCAGGGACACCAACTTCTATTTAATAATGACTACTTTTGTACTCATACACTTCTCAATTTTGCCACAATAATGACAAATTTTTCCTTTTTTCAAACAATTATTGCTACTGTTTTTTAGGTCACACATAACCTTCTTTCTGGAAAAGTTAAGGTTAATAATAGGGCCCTGCAAAGCTTCAAGATTTGATTCGTTTGCAAGTCAAAACTGGAGATTCAATTTATTAGCTGGGCTCAAATTCAATATTTTTGAATCTACATCACTTCTGGTAAACTTTAGCTTTTAATTCAGTCTATATACTGGAACTTATTTTAATTCAGTCTATATACTGGAACTTATTTTAATTCAGTCTATATACTGGAACTTATTTTAATTCAGTC